CTCATAGGGTCTATGTCCCCCAGGGTACTGCCGGAACGTACCCTGGTACCAGAGTATGCATATAAATCAACGTGATTTATATGCTCTGCTGGTACTACGGTACCTAATATGCCGGACCGTACCTCGCCTACTCCACTAACGAGTCTAGGGAGTCGCCTACGCCTACTCCATAACCCTAACCCTAACCATATCAGATAGTTACCCGGGTACGTTCCAGTATACCGGACCGTACCCAGGGTACGTTCCGGCAGTACCCTGGGGGACATAGACCCTATGAGCCATAGTATACGAGAATATATAAAGAACGACCGTACTCTTGATGTGTTTGCTATTTATGAGTGTGATGCTATTGTGACAATTAAGTTACAGCATTCAATAGTGATAGTGAATGCACGTCTGTGCGTGTGTGAGGGCTAGTACATCTTATCTAGAAACATATAAACCTTTACTTATCCCATTACCTCTATATATAGCACATATCTCCAACATAAGGGTGTATGTGCATGCTCGTGATCTATCGTCAGTGGGCTTCCACGCTGCATCGTGCCTGGTTAGGTCATTGTTCCATGACAGTAGAAACTATGATGAAGCGGTCCAGGCTTCGGAAGTTTTCTCATCAGATGCGTGTTACTTGCGTTAAGTACGCAAGAAGCAAGTGAATTATTTGCCGATAATATTCAATGATGAATAAAGAGAATGCAGGTGAATATGCGTGAAATGGTGTGTATCACAGGGATATACGCACGCGCACGCATACACGTATGCGTGCACACATACGTGTGGATGTGTATAAGATTAGTGAGAGTCCGATCCGGGGGTGCTGCGGCATTTAAATGGGCATGTTTATTTTCTTAGGGGCGCATAGAAACATATGGTGTGCAACACGCGCTGTTTCTATTTTTTAGGCGATGCCCGCGACCGCCGACGTAATCGGACCCCGGTGCGGAATACATGCAAAGTAGGTGCTCGGCTGACAGCTGCCCAGGCAGGAGGAGGAGGAGGAGGAGGGAGAAGGAGAAGGGAGGGGGAAGCTTCTACCGAGCATAGATGTACACGTAGCAAGCCGAGACGCGAGAATAGAGCAGCCGGCATGCCTCTGTTCCGCCGACCAAGATGAATACAGGTAACGTGCAGTCGGTGCCACAGATGTGATATGTTCTCTCTCTCTCTCTCTCTCTCTCTCTCTCTCTCTCTCTCTCTCTCTCTCTCTCTCTCTCTCTCTCTCTCTCTC